TAATTTGTAAGATACTACTGAAGTTTTATTAAAGGAAATGCCACGGGTGTGGACAAGAGTACTAACAACATACACAGAATGAAAACTAGGTCTAAATGAAAATTAAAAAGATTAGGATTTCTCAGTTTAGAGAGGAGTTCTGAATGGAGAAGGGGCTTTGTGAGAAGCTACAGAAAGAAAAGTGTTGTCATCTACAACCTGCAGTAGCCATAATACCTATGGGAAGTTATTCTTCCTACAATACTGTACAAGGACTGGCAAGGTGCTGTCAGTCAGGATTACAGGTGAATTGTCAAGAAAATTATTCACAGGTTATAAACTAATTTCTGGATATACTTCTTAAAGCTCTCAATTCAAACACATTGGGTATGCTAGGAGGACATGCCTTTTATCCCCTAACAAGGTTCTTAACTACTATATTGTGGAAAATCTGGTATAAAATAAAAATTGAAGAAGCAGACGCTTAGCAGGCATGTGTTAGAGTCCCTCCTGCAAGGTGGTAGCATCTGAGGGTGATGTAAAGAGCACATGCTTGGCACATGGCTTAGTTCTACTGAAGTTGGTAAGATTACTCACACACTTAAATGAGTTACTTAATTGTGAACCAGAAAGGTTTAGCGCCTAGCAGGGTGCCCACCCTACTTGTGCCAACCACAAATACCTTCCATCTTTTCAAGTCCCTTTCCTAAAACTAAGGCAGTGCGAGAGACCCAGCTATGGTTTTGAAATTACCAGTTCAATCATGCTCCAAAGTGTTGCTTTGACTACTACTAAAATAGCTATTTTGTACCTCGAGTCCATTGAGTTTACTTGTTCCAGCAGCACCAACATGAAAATACTTATTCTTAGTGAAAACTAAGTGATGCAACTAGATTGCTCTTCCTCTGCTACAGCTTAGAGGAGCCCTGGAGAAAATCAAAAAGGGAAAAAAGAGATGCAAGAAAGGCACTGGGGCCATCTGTCGGCAGATCTAGAAGAAAGCGTCACGTAAGTGCACACAGAGGAGGGCATTTTCACAGGAATTAAAGACATTTCCCTCCCAAGGAGGATTCAGATCCTATGGTTGCTGGTGACAAGTAGAACACTCACTTCGCTTAGACCTTCTCTCCCTCCCCATTCAAACCCTAGCATCAACTATGTCCTGAGACTAACAGACTGATGGTCAGAAACTATTTAACTTCTAACTTTAGTCCTATTCAACTTTCTGAAAACATGTACTGTATCAACCAATCCTTAATCTGCTTAAAATAATTGCAGCAACACCACACTGTGAACCTCCTCATCAGCTCCCTTACCACAGCAGAAGGCAGAAGAAACACAGACAAACGGAACTTAGAACGACTTTACCATGGCAGTATAAAGGATTTTTGTCTCCATATAGATATAAGGCTCTGTACTAACAATCTAAGTAGTAAACACAGTGCTGCATTTTGTAATCATCCCATACCTAAGAGCCAAATCAGTGCTTCAAGCTGCTCATTATTTTAGTGTAAAGAATTCAGCTACGGAAGGGGTGTTGATGGGGCAACTTCCTATCAGTTTAGACTATGCAGTCGGTCACATTCTGTATTTTAACTGATTGGAACTTTTAACCCTAATGACTATGGAAGAAGATAAACACAACCGCTGTTTACTACGGGAAGAGCTGCATTTACTTTAATTTATTAGTGTAACTCAGCATTAAGCTCATCCACACTATATTCTTTTTTTGGAGAACCATTATGATTTCATTAAGTTTATCATTAGAGTAGAAGTAGTAAACTGGGACAATCCCTCGGAATCATTTGGAACAGCACAATACACTTAATTTTAATGCCTGATAATGATCATTATCTCTTAAATAAGGGGGAAAAAAGACAGAACTCAATTAACTTTCATTAAATTCAGGATATTAGACCCTAATACAGATTTCATAATTAATTAAGTCCTGGAGAATTAGACTTCATTCCATTCTGAAGAGAGCAGATACGAGACTGCATCCCATTACACACATGGGAAAACATGGTTGGCTGTGGAAACCAGAAAGATTTCACACAGAAAACAGACCAGGAGGAAAACACTTCTTCCATAAACAAAAGATCTTATAGGATTGTTTTTTAAAAAAAGAATATACTCCTACACGCCACTACAGGAGCATACATACAAGAACACCTAATAGTTCCAAGGCCAGCCTCTCAAAGACGCACATAAAATAAAACAGCATAAAATGCTACATAAATATCAGCATGCTTACAGGTGAATCATTTCTACCAATGCAGACATTTTATTGGCACTACAGTACTTCTGTATTACGATTTAGCACAAAGGACATTTCAGTTGTCAGAGTACCAGCTCTTTGAAATGACCTCACAGGAAAGAGCTGCCATATTTTTAGCCCTCACTTGCTTATTTTGATGAATTTGACTCTATTCAAACTTCCCTCATCTGTGTGTAGTTTTTACATAGCAGAAGGAGGGAGAGAAAATGTTGCAAAGCCCAGGAATTTCTGCCTCTGCAGAAACTAATACAATAATTTCATAGCAAGATAAGTGGAGGTATCATTGCAAGAACACAATGAAGACTACACAAAAGCAAAGTCTACAAGGAACATCCTAACTTTGCCTTTGCTGTATTAGCTGTGGGGACAGTGTTCATGCCAGCCTACAGTGCAGGAATCCCAGGGAGCAGCACTTCATTCCTCTGAGCTAACTCTTAAAAATTATGAAGTTCCTGAAGACAACTCTGTGCAACTTTAGTGAATATTATGTAAATAATGCAAATTCTGTCCTGGCTGCATTACTAGGTCAAGTTGAAGCCCATCAGGATGAGCTGGTGAGATCTGAAACACTCATTAAAAGTTTTAATGAATCAAAGACCACTTTCTGGTATATAAGGCCAAATATTTGATTATTATTTCCCAGTATTCATAAGCATAGCTGACACAGAAATACATTGAAATCCAAGGAGAGCCATCTTTTAGCATTTCCACCAATACTTTTTTTTGACTTCACAGATTTCCCAGCATCATCCCCAATCCAAACCAGAATGTGCTGAAATAAAAGGTTTTGACATATTTTTAATACCACATTTTAAACCTTTGTTTTAAGTTGAAATCAGATGAAAATCCTACCTTGATGGAAGCAACGTGGAGCAAAGTCTCCCCTTTGTAATTTCTTCTGGTGATCATGTTATTACCAGGAGACTTCAACACAGAAGGACTGGGTGGTACTCCTATCTGACTACAAGTCTTAGAAGTAGATGGAGTAGAGGGAACTTTTGAAAGTGTAGGACTGTTTATCTCTTGGGAGAGTGCAGAGCTTCTTGTCTTCATTAGGGTGTCCACAGGGCGTTTTGATGCAGAAGAACAAACATGAACTGGACTTCGGCTTTCAGCCAGCGGGGAGATGGGAGAGCCCTGAGGCAGGTCCTCCAAGCAAGACTCTTGACTGCCTGAACTCCTACTAACGATCCTCTCAGATCTTCTCGGTCTTTTAGACTGAGAAGTGACTGGAAATCTGACCTGCTCCCTTCCACGTTTTAAAGGAGTAGCTTCATTTTCTACTGATAGTGGTTTCTCTGGAACACAAACCTCTTCCTTGCTGTCTTGTGCAGGACACACATCTGCATTGCTATCTTTTTTCTCTGAGGATCTTGCCTGTGGGGATATTCCCATATTTTCCATATTTTCTCTGGAATCTTTGCTGAAGTGTCTCCTCAGGGCTATTTGGTTCTGGGGTACATAGGTTTACTGGTTGGCTGCAAATCGTCACATGCTTTTCCCTACTGGAAATCTGCTCAACTTCTTTCTGCTCAAGCTTCTGGAAGCCCCACACTTTGTTGATGTCTGCTAGACGTTTCTTCTTCATCCTCTTACTCATTCTATGTGTTGGCTTTTTGGCCTGCTTAGGAGGCTTCTCATGAGGAGGAGAAGGAAAGAAGTGATAAGCTGAAGATGGATCTTCACAAACATTATTGCTTTTAGTTACTGGCTCTCTCTTGTTCAGGGTGCATCTAATCTTCCTGCTTCTTGGGCTGAACCACATCTTGATCTGTTCCTTCTTACTCTTTGCTTCACAATTTCGATCTGGCTGTGTAGATTCAGCACAAGTTACATCTAAGTGAGGCAGGGAAGAAGAAAGAATTTGCAAAGTACTCTTCAGCAGAAAAAAAAAAAAAAGATCACACAGAAGAGTAACTGGAAGTACACAGGCAAACAAGTGTTAAGTCTTCCTGACAAATTTGGGCTAATACCACTGAATCAGTGGATGAATCAGAAGAATACACAAAATCTCTGAATAATTGTGCCTTATCATCTGATTCTTCAGCTCTTGGTAGTAAATAACTGCAAGGAAGCTACCTTTTGTGGTTTTCTTAAACTTTTCTTTAAATTAATGCAATGAAGCAATTTTATGCAAATCAAACCATGCAGCTGATTACAAATCAGTAACTAAAATCAGTAACTAAGACGAATATCCTGTAGTGCTTATGCATAAAGTTACAAGTGAGAGCAGAATCTGTAAGCAGTCTCCTCAATGGCTTAAGACTAAATTAAAGAGTATAGAGTGACCTTTAAGTCAACAACTAATTTAATTTGACAACTTCTCTCTCAGTGCTGATGAATGCTAAAAACAAATCCTCAGATTCTTTCTTGGAAATCTAGCTTGCTTTAGGTTACTTGGACAAGTTTCCCAAAGTAAATAAGAGGCTTATTACCAAAACCTACTATAACTGTGAAACCTCAGACCTCAGGACATCTGAGCAGGGAACATCTTTTTAGCTTCCTTCAACCACAGGGACTACTACAAAAGCCTGCTTAGTGATGCGTAAGGATCAGAATCACAAAACCAATATTCATTCTGACTAGTGAAGCAGGTAGATTTTTTTTAATCTTAATGCTATTAAAAACAAAATAAAGAAAAAAAAACCCCAACACCACACACACACACACACACACACACCCACAAGAAAAGTCTGGGAATAAAAAGCTATAGAATGTCTTGAGGATTAGAAGTGAAATTCTTGGAGATTTTCTGCAACTCTATTATTTTCATTTCAGTGAATTAACTCTAATGATTATTTTTCTTCTCTATACCTTCTCTTCTATTTTAGTGTTGGTAACTACAATCTGCTTTCTGTATCAAGCTGTAATGAATCACAATATGCGACAAAACTCAATCCCAACCCCTTACACACACACACACACAAGAAAAGTCTGAAATAATTTCACTTAAAGCAGAATTATGTAGCTAGTCACTGAACATCCAAATAGACATTTCAAGCTTAAATGTTTCCTCAATCTTGATTTAAATCACTTATCTCTTGAACTATGTGAGGTATTAGGAGACTCATGAG